TCTCTCTCTCTCTCTCTCTCTCTTTCCAGCCACATCCCTGTTTCAGTGGAAGTGCAGGTGCCCCACGTGTGTCTGCTGTCAAGCCACTTGCACTTTGAGCTTTCCATTGGGATTCCCACAGAAGCAACAGTCCACCTTTCTAACCAGACGCTGCTCCCTACACACTTCAAATGGGGAGAGGTGAGTGGGGGGGTTTGTGGTGTTCTCAACTCATCCCAAGGATCCTTGGACTCCTGTTAAATGATCCACCACCCTGGTTGGCTTGACAGCTTCTTGGAAGCCAGGCGTCTTCCTGTGTGCTGAGCATCTCTCCAGAAAGTGGTGTTTTGGGCCCAAATGAGAAGAAGGAGTTCTGTGTCGTGATAACGTATAATGATAAGGTTAGTTTACTTGGAACTACTTGTCTCTCAACGTGCAGAGGTGTGTTATGGTTGCTGTTTAGTTCTTTGCCAGCCAACTCACTTCTTCATCCTGATTTTATGTGCTGCACCTGTCTCTGTTTTTAACTTCTTTTTGTATTTTATTGTCATTGATTACTTTTTTACAGGGCTGATAGAGTGTTAGATGTTGCAAATGAGGTGGGAGGTTGGATAGAAATACATTTATTAATAAGCATCCTCCATCTTTGTGGTAAAATTGCTTTTAAAATTATGCCCTTCATCATATTAGAGCTACCAACAAGGGTGAGAAAGGACTGTTGAAATCATGGCTTGTGGGTGGCGGTCTGTTGACATCTGAAGGCCCACTCAAGAAACACAGTAGACTCTGCTGAGCTAGATAAAACTATCTAAAAACTCCCCCCAATTTTATTTTGTATTTTTCAGGATATTGTTAACTACAGTTTTAAAAAATTAATTGAAATGGATTGATTGATGGATTAGATTTATATCCCACCTTTTGTACAGGAGCTTAAGATGGTGTATGCAGTGTTCGCTCTTCTCATTAGTCCCCACAACAACAGCCTTGTGAAGTAGGTCGGGCTGAGAGAGAGTGACCCAGAGAAACTAAGTCTTCCCAGTGGCAGTCCAACACCTTCACCATTGCACCATGCTGGCATGCTGCAAAGCAAAATGCCAGCCTCAGATATGGTCTTTATGTTAAAAAATGCTTCTGAGTTCCAGAGGCGTTCTTAGAAGATTAAAATGGCAAACTATTACAGTCCAGGGCACTGTTTGGGAGGGTGCATATCTTCCCAGGGAAAAAAAAAACAGTGAGCTGAAATGAGAGAAAATATCCTGGGAAGATGAAGGGAGTGCCATGGGGTGCCAAACCTCACCAGTTTGTCTTCTGAGAAGCGGGTGTTTTTTAGCTGTTCCAACACGTTTTCAATTGGGGAGAGGTAAGTAGCTTGCGGGGCTCTTGGTTTGTCCAAACAATTGATGAGATTTCGAGACATGCTCTTCATATTCCACATATGCCTCCTGGCCCCAAAGGGCCAAGGATTCCAGAGCTAAGCTCTTGGGCTAATTCAGCAGGCTTACCCCTCCTTCCCAGGGTGATACAAGAGT